TAGATACCAAGGTTGGATTCTCTTTGCCCAGACTCACGTGTAGCGGCGTCTACATCATTCCCGCGGCACACAACGTTGGTAAATTTGCGCATCTCAATTGACGACTAATTTATGCCACAATTTTCTGTCTCTCCCGTCTCCACGAGCCGCGTCCAAGTCCCCCAAATGCCTAAGCTTTGGGGCTTGGCTTCGGACTAGCACCAGCCCTAGAGATGGGAGAGCGGGCCAAGTTAACACCACATCGTGGAGCAACTGAGGCCCAGAAGTGAGATTCCCTGCCGGTTCCAACTGGTGCCCGGCTTGCCCCCCCTTTGAACGCCGCCGTGGACCGTCTCGTAGTGTCGACAAACCATTGGCTCTTCCGGGGCGCGCCAGTGCAACCGTGATGGCTTCGTGGGGACGCGACAGTAGTGGCTTGTCTCATGTTGGCCTGATGTCTTGGGAGATGCCAGCCTGTTGCATTAACTAGTTAGCGCCCATCGCACTGGTGGACAGTGGCAAGTGGGTGGTTCATCTGGGTCTCAAACCAAGGCTCAGCCTCTTGTTTCTGGTGGAACAGGGGTGGTGCAACATTCGGTCCGTAATAGGTTCAGGATTCAGATGTTGAGCGTGTTGATCGTATTGGGCGTATTGAGCGATTTGAGCGTCTCATCTGCATTGGGTGAACCGGGCGGCTATTTTCAAAAATTTCTTTTGTTTTCTTGTTTTCTTATTTTCTTGTTCTCTTGTTCTGTAAATCAAGACTTGTAGAGAATTTAGTAGATGCCCTGGCAGCTTGGCCCTGGTTGCCAGTGTGTATGTACATGCCAGTAAGACGTAGCACGGCACATCTATTATAGCTTTCCGTCTTGTCCATGTAGAGTCAACTAGTTGTCATTAGTTGTCATTAGTTGTCATTAGTAGGATCTAACAACGAGACAAATTTCTCAAAAGGCCGTGCTCCCGACTCCCAGTCGAACCAAGGGTTCGTGCGCATCGATGGCTGCTTGCTCATTCATTGTCTCCAAGCGCCTGGAGTGAATGGTCAACGTTAGTTATGGTTACTCCCCACGGGATGGCAGCCCCTCTCGCCCTGAATGAATCGTTCACTGAGACGTTGCCTTCGCTGGCCCCTTCCTCGCCAACCTAGTCAGGACCAGAGCTGACACGAAACAACCAAGCGTTGACACAGTTATCAACCGTGTACGTACTCGTTCCAGCGCATCGGTGCTCTGTCACTTTTACCGCCTCGCGAGGCGCCACAGCTGGCAGGCTAGTATCCACAGAGTCCGAACTCTATTTCCAAAGTACAGTTGAAAGACAGATTTACCAACGTTGGTTACTCCGTACAGAGCCAGTTTTTTTTTGCCAGACGAAACTCTTTTTCTTTTGTTGCTGCTCATCTCCGCTCTTTTCGTCACAATATTTCCACTTAATCATTTCCCCTCAACTTAGTGGCCGGGCGAAGTGTACGATTCAGGAAAGAGCTCCCGTGGAAGCTACAAGCTACATAGTTAGGCACTCAACTAAGCCCAATTGGCCCAGCTTCCTAGTTATGACGACGACTGGTTTTTTTTGTTCTTCTAAATTTAGTTAATCGCCACAGACTCAAGATACAGAAGAAGCAAAACCAGGTACCCTCATTGTCCGTGGGTACATGAGGCTGCCTTGTCGTCAACTCGGGCGTCTACCGAGACACGATCGGCGTGCATTTCTCTCTCTTCTCTCACGAAAAAAAAAAAAGCCAAACTCATCAAGATGCTCTCCCTGCAACGGTTAGACTTTCATGTTGCATCTGTTCACGTCTCAGCCGTGGCCCAATCTGGCCATGTGGCGCGCTGCCAAATCTTGCCCTTTACGAAAGAGTCAATTCCAACCGGTGGCTGTGCGGAGGCACATGTACTCCAACAACAGTCTGGTATTTTTCATGATTGTCCTGAATCGGTGGCTGGCTGGTTTGCCAGGTTCAACATCTCTAGTTAGACTGATGATCAACCTTGCCGGCCAAAAGCCGCCCAAATAGACTTTTGGTCACTCAGCTCACAAGACACAGAAACATACTCGCTTACAACACCGCGGCGCTATATCCTCGCCAGCCGATCATGCCATTGAGGGGGATGCGCAATGGCGCGCAGTAACTAGAGTTTGCGATATCCGGTTCATCATTAAGTGCTTGGCGATGGTCGGTGTGAAACGTGTCGGGCCCTACAATCTCACCGAGAATTTCGCCACAATGCCGTCCAAGGCAAAGCCAAAATGAAAACCCTAAATGATGTATTCATGTATTATTATCATATGACTTTTGGGGGGCCAATGACTCTCAGAAAAGTATACTCGCCCGTACGAGCATCACCAAAGCCAAAGCGCGGCTGTTACTCTTGGCTCGCGTTGATGCGCTCCAACGTCATGGGGCTCGTATTTTCCACTACCGCGACTCTTTTACAAGCACTATTCATAATATATCAGCCCAATTTCGCGTGCCCTAATGCTATCAAGACGAACAAAGATTGCAATATCGGCGACTTTACTATTGCTTGCTCATGACAGCACACCCTATACACTCGTGTCAGGACCCAAGGGAAAAAACACCAGGCAGCGAAATAGGCTCTCGGTCTGCATCATGTTAGTTACTGGCCGTGGTGTGATGCGCCAAGCAAAGCCCATGATACCACAAAACTTTCTCATTTACTGCCACTGCTGAATCAGAGGCGACCAAATAAGGCTGGGAACCCTGGGCTTCAGACAGCGCCGGCATTTTATGTATGTACCAGGCCTGCTGAGGACGGCTTGGCTGTTGGGCAGACACGTAAACTCTATATCACGGCACAGCCTCGCATGAAGCCACAATACGCGTTTACTTGGGTCAGTTACAAAGCCACGTATGACTGCGTTAAAGTATCAGCACAAGCCTAAGTAGTTACATATGAGACGGCAAATTTCCACCGCCGTATTAAGCTTTTGGGGGCAAAGGAAGCCAACACGCGTACAAGTAGCAATAGTTAGCGCAAGAGACGGATGTAACCGTTGCAACGGGTGGGCTTTCGGTATCCTGACCAAGTGTGGTCTAGACGGTATCGCCTCTGTTTCGGCCAGCAGCCTCACGCTAACTAACAAAAGTAAAAGAGAGTTCAACATTTTCGAACCGCGTGTGGCTAGTAAGAAGTGTGAAAACCGCGGTCGGCATTTTCTACGAAAACGCCGCGGACTCCGTTCTGTGACCAATGGCCTATCACAAGGGGTCTCAACAGAGTTTACAAGGAGGCGGCCTGCTGCAAAGAGTAGACCGTTGTCGTCATCATCGGCCCAGCGTACAAGGCCGGCCAATCACCACACGGCACAGTCGAAAAAGGAAACTCGTACAGCTGTCGAAGGTTTTTTTTTGTCTTTGCCTTGGGGATTCCGGTCGGCCGTCGTTCAGACCCCCCCAACGACCAAAAAGAAAAAGAAGAGGAAAAACGAAGACAACAAGGGTCAAGAGTCGGCCGACCGGCCCTGCCTGCAGATACGTACGTAGTTTGTTACAGTAGTCTGATGAACACACATACAACTGAGTCGGATTACCATCAGCGGTCCGCGCGCTCTTGCTCTGCTGCCAGAGGACGGCAAACGCGGCTCTCTGGGTTTCCCTTTTGGGGGGTTGCGCGCGCTCGGCAGCGTGGTAAGCCCTGCGTCGGCTTTCTCTCCTTTGTGTGGTTGCTCCTCTTTATCGCTGTTGGAGATGTGTCCGTGCGAGAGAGAGAGGGGAAGTAGATGACTGCCTAGTTATGACTAACGTATTAAGTACAGAAGGGTAGTCATACTAACGACCAGTAACTACCAGCAACTACCAGCAACTACCAGTCACTACCAGCAACTACCAGCAACTACCAGCAACTACCAGTAACTACCAATATGAAACTACCAGCATATCGACTGGAATGTACAAACAGGCACAATCTCCACCGGAACCGACAATCGAGTCAGGCGGGAAACCAAAAAAAAAACGTTTTCTTGGCAGCGGGTTCCCTATATTCTCGTCGCATACCCGGGCTCCGGTTCACGCCCCCTCTCCCCTTTTCTCCTTGTTGCTTTTTTTATCATGACATTACTCCGTAATAATACTGGTACTTGATACATGGACTGCCAAGTGCCCAAGACGCCAATAGTTATACGGACAACTACATGGGCAGAACTTGGAAACCGCCCATGCATGTCGACAGGGTGTCGTCGTCCTTCATCCACAATCGCTGGTGTGCTGCAATGCCAAACTTTAATCTCTCCGATCCTCGCAATGCTGTTTTTGCTTTTCGCCATCCGCCACCATGCAGGTCAGTCAGTTGACCGATCCCTGCCGTTCTTGCTGCTGCAGTCCAGAAAGGGACATGGCAATGAACCATCGAGAGCCAGTGCCAGGAATTACAAGTAGTAAAAAAGCCTGGGAGCTGCAAGTATAGCGTTTATTTTGAACCCAGTCCCAAAGTACACAAAACACGTCTCTACAACTCCACGTGAGAAGTGGCGCTCAGTCTATCCGGTCTAACCAACTAAATCTACCCCCTTTTTATACATGTAGTATACAGAAATGATCAACTGTCTTGCCCCCAAACTCAAAATCTACAGCCTCTTCCCTAACTTGCTTGGCGGCATCTGTTCGTTGAGTAGCCTGATGACAGAGTTGCAACTCTGCAGTCTTGCCTTTTCAGACCAACGCCATGTCAGCCTCTTTAGGGTAGGTATTGGGCGTCGTGTCGCCTCCCATCATCAACCCTTGAGCCTCCACCTTGGAAAACTCTATCCCATTCCTCCAAACAAGAAAAAAACGCGGCAAATGCTTGACTCGCCGTTAGGCTGTTGTGGAGATTTCGTGGCGGCCTGCCGTCCCAACGGCTGTCGGTTATCGAAACGGTCCATGTGGCTTCTCGCGCTGCCTTCTCTTTTCAGACCTTGGACGTGGAGAAGCCCTTGTCAATTGCCAGTCGCCGTCTTCTTACCACAATGGACCCGCAGCATGGCCACATGCAGTATCCGAGTAATAACCCCGACTATGCCTTCTTTCCAATATTCCAGCCCCATGACCGGAGCTTCTTGACAATCTTGGGCGTAAGCGCGGCCGTCAGCGGAACTCGCAGGAAGATGAAGCTCTTGTGGATAGCGTATGCAAGAGCCAGCTGTGTCCCCAGGCCTAGCAAGAAAAGAATGTGTTAGCCGCTGCACAGTGCAAGCCATCATTCAGACGCCCCGTCGGGCTGACAAGTCCACTTGTGACCTGATATTCCTGCCGCCGAAAATGACAACCAAGGTACTTACTGGCTGTTTCGTTGTGATGCTCCTGCGCCTTTTCGACACCCCATCCCATCATCTCCACCGTTTCACTAACATCTCCATTGCCAAGCGTGTCCGTTTCCGTCTTCTTAACCGATTGCCAGTAACCGCGCCACTTCTGTCGGATAGATTCTGGAATGAAACTTGAAACGGTGGATACGACAGCGTGCTCAATCTTGCCTGTAACCCCCACAAACATTCACATGGTCAGTAAATTTGCTCATATCCGTGGAGCCTGCTTCTTCTTTTTCGCCGTCGCAACTCACCAATGGTATCTGTGCCTACAATGCGCACTAGTAGGAAGCAAAAGGGGAAGTCTAGAACGCTGAGCGCCAGGTACACGCCGATCGCCGACTTTCCGTAATCCTTGAACAATTTCTTCAGTCGTTGCGACAGCGACAGCGACGGTGCTTTCTCTCCATTTGTGGTGTTACGTCTCCAAGTAGAGAAGCGGAAGCCTCTCCTGGATGCCGGCGTCCATCCAGGTGCTGCCACGCGCAACCCAAAAGGCCGCAGTGGGTGAAAGGCTGTCGCAGAACGCCGCGACGCGCCAGAGTTGATTGGGCGCCATCCAACGACATCGCGCTCCGTGGTTGTATAGAAACGTCTCCAGGCACCTTGCCAGGCCCCCGATGGTGCCTTCATAGTGTTGAAAGCTCGTTGAGCAAACCCAGCCCCTTGTAGAAACCGTAACATTTTGGCCTACAAGACTCGAGTCTTAACTGATAACGCAATGCTCTAGGTTCTTTGATGATGGTATTGATGACGGTATTGATGAATCCAAGAGCCAGCAAAGCTCCGCCGGCCCTGGAAAATGTACCTTGGGTCGGCGCGGGTGTTGCTCGGAGCTATCGGAGTCTTCGCGGTCCGCTGACGGTCGGGTACGGCGGCTTCTGGTGCGCAGGCGACTGTCCGTTTATATTTGTCGGTTCCGGGATTAATGAACAGAGCTGTTCAATTGCCTGGTGGGAGAGGCCAACGGTGCCGCGTGATGCGCTGGATGGCCAAGGTCACAGTCTGACCCTTTTTCGAAGCTACCAGAAAATTGATGATGTCGTCGGTTGCCAAGGTCCGCCAAGGCCTTGCCGTTTTGGGGGGCGTCACGTGGAACCAAACCAACGCAACAACGCATCTGAGGCACGCATATTTGCCAGGTGAAAGATAAATTGTCCTGGGAAAATTGACGGTAAAAATGCAAGTCATATATGCGAGATTAAAATTGGCATGGAAAATGATACAACACTGAAACATCAGTCGTTGTCGTGGTGCGATTGCCACGACACTGTCCTGCATCGGAGCAAAGTCGGCGGCGTGTAAGTGAGCTTCACAACCAGCAAACGGCGAGGCGCCGCGTTCGCAGCACGCTCCATTTCGGTAAATATTCCTCGCTAAAATTTCCAATTATAGATTTTTTTCATAAGAACGTGCTCGGCTGCAGAATTAGATCCTTCGGTACCCCGAGCCGGACCCGACCAATGATGCCATCGCAGCTGCCAGGCCGCAGGCAATCACCTTTGCATCACCGCCTACCGAGCCACGTGATGCTTTTTCGTCCTTTCTGTCTTCCGGTTCTCCCCTCGAATCAAGGATGCTGTGCATTTTCTGGAGTGTTTCTCCGTTCGCTCGTTAATCTGCGTTTCTCAGTCGCTCGTTTCACCCCGTTCCTTATATCTGCTGGGCAGCTTTGGCTGCGTTTCGCTCCTTTGGTTAGGCGAGCATACAATGGCCAAGATTGCCGCGACATACGGTACGAAGCGTACATCAGCTCGGATGTTGGATGAAAGACGACACCGTCGAAGCTTGTTAGCATCATTTAGCTCCTCCAAGCCAGGTATCTGCTCTGCTCTGCTGGTCCAATTTGACCAATAACCAACGTCGCGCTTCTTTAGATACAAATCAATCAGCCCTACGACACCCTATGGCATCACTACAACATGATACAATAGCTACTATAGGCATCACACAAACGGTTTCAATGCATCCTTTACCTACAGTCGGCTCCTCCGTCTTCGGCCCCCGCCAGCGAATCACTGCTGGAAGGCTAGGGCAAATCACCAGTCCTGGCCGGAATCTTCTCTCGACTCTCAATAGGCGAAACCCACCGGTTGTAGATGCAGAGATAGAAGAATCTTGCACATTTCTGCCCCGAAGTCCGCCGCTGGTTCATCCCGGCACCCCGATCAGCGTTGCAATTAATGGGACAGCCTCGAAGCGGGACGACAACAGGCCAGATTCCTTGAAAAATCTTAGCCCGGTTGAGATTGACGACAAAATTACAGCTATGCTGGCAGCTACAGCTTTACTCAAGTCGCATTCTCCTCCCAAGACCCCGCGAGCCTCTGCAAACCGATCGCGAACAATCCCTCGTACCACAGGCTACGGCTCGGAAAAGGCGATACAAGCTGTACATAAAACCAAAAGCGAAGCTCTAGTCGAGGACATCATACCCGAGTCTCAGAAGCGAAGTTTGTCCCAAGCTGAAGAGTCAACATTGCTACCTGAGCAACTTACGACCATTGAGCTTCGTCTCAATGAAGGCAATAACCTCAACCGAAGAAAAGTGCAGAAAATTGTGGGAGGCAGCATCAAGAGGAAGCCGGTCTATTTCCAGGGTCAACCTGCGCGCCAGAGCCCTATTGACGATTGCCGAGGGTCGTGCTCGCAGGTGGATGGTCAGCCGGAAACTCCCCAGGCCTCCGGTTTCACGTATATACGAGACCCGTTCGAAGATGAAGCAAATTTCGACGAAGATCTTGTGGATGGAGTGTTGTGTGAATGCCCAACAGGCTCATCAACGCCAAAGTCAGCAGCATTGACACCGCAACTAAATAGGGTCGATGAGGAAGAAGACTACAGCTTCCAGAATCCCCGAATCGGACCAGAAACCGTGGATGCAAAGAGTCGCAACAACAGTCTAGACATATTTTCACCAGCAATGGAAGCACCCGTCGTTGAAACGATACCAGCAGAACACCGCGTGAAGAAACATCCTTCACCAAGCAAGAAGGCTTTGGAGGACCTGGAAGCTGCTTTCGCCATGTACACTAAGCTCAAACCTTTGGAAGATGGGGACAAAACTGACGAACTGGCCAAGGAAAACCGCGACGCGCTTTCAGTCGCAGACGGCAATAAATTAATGCGACAATCGTGGTCGAAATGTGACGGGTCTGAGGCATCAAGACACACAAGCCAGAGAGTCGCACGCAGGATTCGGCATAGCTTGCCGTATCGAACTACTCTGGCAAGTAGTCAGGATATCGACGACTTGCGAAACTGAAGATGAAGATGTTTCAATACTGACACAATATGCTTTCGCTTTTTGGGGCTCTGAAGTCAGGGTTAGGATTGTAATTGGGCACAATGCACTGCAAGAAAACTTTGCGGGAATCAAGTATAATGTAATAACATGAAGCTAATATTGAAACTAAAATCGAACCGTCGCTTTATCATGAAGGGTATCGTTGCTCAAAATGACTAATAATGGTGATGAGAGCCACGGCCGTCCGTGCCATGCATGCGGCGAGTGCCAGCAGCCTGAGGTGGAGGGTGTTAGTGGGCGGAAGTGCTGTGAGCGAATGAGGGAAACGCACCTTGACGCCAGGACGGTTAGTCAAACTACCGCGGAGCTTGAGAAACGCTCCGGAGATTTTGTCACCAAGACTAGGCTTGCGCTGGTGGTGGTGATGCGCGGCAGGGCGGCGAGAGAAGAGACCTCGGCGGCGGGGAGCAGCAGTAGTGGTGGTGGTGGTGGTAGAATGGTGATGAGCAGGGCGTCGTGAGAAGAACCCTCTGCGTTTCGGGGGAGCGGCAACAACGCGCTCGCGGCGATGGAGAGAAAAGGGCATTTTGATAGTTGGTTGGGAAAGGTTTTTTTTTTCAATCGATGTTTGCAGCTGGTCGTTGGAGATGCTGATGAGGACAATGGTATATTTTCAAATGTGGCTAGTAGAGGGGACAATAACCAGCTCTTTATACCTATGTATCGTTCCTACACGACACCTCATCACGATGCCCATGATTCTGCCATGACGAGATGCACATCCCTGGTCTCACGGGGGCTGTGTATGATGCAGGAGTGCAATTATAGAGAGGGTTGTCTAATAAGAAAGAAACTTGGCTCTTGGCCTACTGCCGAACAAAACAGGCAAGAGATCTGTGGCGGGTGGGGGACCAGCGACGTGTGGCTGGAGACGTCTCTGCCAATGACCATGGAACTAATCCATACGTGCATGAAAAGCAGGGTTTGGCACACACTTTGCAACCGTTTTTTTTTAAGCCTTGTTTCTTTTGTGAGCAAGTGAATTACGGAATGTGGCTTGCGTGGCTTGGAGAGAAATGTTGGTCCCTTGGTGATGCAGTCATGACGTAGCGATGCTGGCTGTGGCTTGGGTCTGCAGCATATCAGTATGTCATTTACTCTAATTTTATCCCATGACTTTTTGTCACACGTTGCACATCATTTTGTGACGGGGGGATCAAGTACGGAGTAATGCAGAGCGATGGCGTAATATTTCTAAATCAAGGAAGCCGATTCTAGTCGTGGTATCTCGGTCCACGCTCCCTTCTACTCTTCCACACCTCTAAAACATGCTGGTAAAAAAGTAAGCCATCTATCAGAAGATTCCCCCCCCATCTCCTTCGACCCACACTAGTCCTGCCGGGGCCAACATTCATCCTTGATTACTCGGTTCGCATGTTGACTTTGATGGTCTCGAGGTCCGCCTGGGAGAAGCCCAGGCCGTCGGCCGAGGTCACGTAGCCGTCCCAGCCCCCGAACCTTGCGTCGAGCGCTTCGAGAAAGGCGTTCCAGTACTCGGGCCGCAGCTGCACGAGGTTGTAGAAGCCCGGCGTCTCCGGGTCGCTGATGCCGACCGTGTTCATGGCAAACGGCATCAGCTTGTCCCGCACGGGCTCGATGCCGACGCGCGAGAGCATGTAGTCGCGGATCGCGGCCTCGGGCGGCGACCCGGCGAGGTGGTGCAAGAGGCCGGCGAGAACCCCCGTACGATCGCGACCAGCTAATTTACCCCTCGTCCTGTCAGCGTTCTCGGACCCGCGGTGTACCTATATATAAAGCCGCAACAACAAGAATAACGCCATGCTGGGGCGGGGGGGGGGGGGGGGGAGGCTTTTGCAACGTACCAGAGCAGTGAAACAGCATGGGCTCCCGCGGCCGGTCGCGCACATGCTCCAGGACGGCGCGGAACGTGGGCGCATACGCCAGCGCGACGTGGAGGTACTGCGTGCGCCAGGCGGCGACGCCCCGGCCTCGGCAAAGTCGGCGAG